GTCACTGGCCCTCATGTGGGATCTGAACCGGGGCCCTGCTGCTCAGAGCTGGCGTCCCAAGCCAACTCCTAACCAATGCGCCACTGGGCCAGCCCTAGAAGTATTTTCTAATAAGCCTATAATTATAAAATGTCCAAAAACCCGCCTTCTTTTTGAAGAACTTGGAAATTTTACTGCTCAACAAGAGCACTAAGGTCCCTGCAAACACACAAAACTATAACAGGTCAGAGAACCCTGAAGCCTGAAAGATGTCATGTGACTATGCAGTTGCTGTGGGTTGGTCTATGAAAAGAAGCAAGCACAAAAATGATAAGAAAAGAAAGCTAAGGAGGCCCCGGCAGTCAGTAGGGACTGGAGAAAAAAATACTAAACATCCAGAGGACACAAGGAGAATACGGCTGGACTAGAGACTAAATCATTCAGAATTTATAAAGTTGAAGCCATATACTCACCGCTACTGCAATCCTTCCAAGGACATGCTCTGGAATTTTTCTATATACATCCAAAGATCCCCCTGTAGAGAAAAACATGCTGTGTTACTACAAATGAAACTATTAGAACAGTGCACTGGACCCCTCCTCTGTGCATTCATTGTGAGAAATTTATTTTTCTCACCTTATATCATGCATTAAATGTCTAGGGTAAAATTGGTTTTTAATCCAATTTTATTTATGACATAATCATACTTCCAGATGAAGCATAACTAGATAACTTCCATTTTATTCCCAAGTGTATAATCATATACACTGAAGAAAATTAGTCAAGGGCAGGCTAAGAATCTGTACTTTATCATGTAAACTTAAAGACACACACACAATTTTAGATCAATAGGGTAATCACATTTAGGTATCTACCTTGTGTAACAGTTTTCTAAAACGTAAGCCAGGACCCTATCTTAGAATTTTCACATGAACTAAACAAAAGCTGCTGAATATAAGGTCCATAATACACACAAAAACTAATAAAGTAAAATAGTAATGTTAACATCTATCTAAATGAATATCACCCTTAAAATTAGTATCAAGACAAGTAATCAAAGATACTGTTAGTTCAAAATAATTAAAAAAAATTCTCTTTGATATGACAACACTGTGAAACCACTTTATGGGGTAAAAAATAAAAACCAATCTCCTGTGTCATAACATGTTTCACTAAAATGCTATTCACGAATACCCTTCACCTTTACCTGTTCAGCTTTTAGCAGTTTCCCAAAACCAAAACCACTAGACTATGAACATCATAAAGGCAGGCCATGTTGTTTGCTTGCTTGTTTTTAACTTTCATCAACCTAGAAGTTAGCACAGCTGGGAGGCAGTATTCAATAAATAACTCAGATGAATAAATAAATGAATTAAAATCACCATGAATTTCAGCAAATAGATATGGTTGCCCTGAAAGCAGTTTCAAAAGAAGGGACAGCAAACTTTTACAGCACCAAGAACATCACTGAAATAGCCATATAACTTTCCTAGGTAACTATTTTGAAGGAACCAATATTCCCTTGGAAGTATAAATCTGGGTATGCTTATTAAAATTTTAATCTTACACAAGTGGTATAAGAATGTCAGGACAACTAAATGCCAACTGTAAATGAAAAATAAAAAAATAAATAAAAGGAAAACCGAAAATGATAATAAACACTTAAGCAACCAAAAAAAAAAATTCAGGAAGATATGCAAAGAACCACTACTTTAACTCATATTAATGATATGATTATATGATAGCTGTTTTAACAATATGTAATAACCTTTTGTTGAGTCAAGTTGAGGTGTACAGTCTTTCAGTTCTACAATGGAATTATCCAGAATATTTGAGAAATAATTTGTTTCTATTAAAGGCCAAAAATTTACATTTAACCGTTTTACTACTAGATGAAGTATATTTCCTAAGGGATTAACATGGAGCATGTTATTTTACTGAAATACAGTTAAGTCTATTTTGCAGAAAGAAAATTTTTATATGTCAAGTTTTCCTAAAGCTGAGCATCAGAGAAAAAAATTAAATAAGTTTTTCCTGTAACACATTCACAAAGCCACTGGTTTTACATTTATCCTGTTTAACGCAGGACAATGATCTCTTCTTTAGGTAACTTTGCCTTGTGGTTTCCAAATTCTGCTAAGGAGCTGGAAAACTACAGTGTGACTAAAACTTATGCTTTGGCTCTGGGTGCTACTGGGAAGATAATGAAAAAAAGACATTTCTGCAATAAGCCGAACCATCTTTATTTACTAAAATAGCATTTTTATTATAGATGCAATAAAAGTGGAAGTATGGTAGAACTGTCTGTTTTCATTGATCTTTCAGATGAATTGGCAGTTGCAAGGACGAAGAGTCTCAAGAAGATCAAGCTTCACATGTTGGTATTAGGAATACTGATAAATGCAGCATATTGCGCCAACCCCTTATGAAGTGAACAGCTGGAGTGGCTCCAAACTGGGAGGTGCAAATTCATTCACGTATATGAGTAAGAAGTCCTATGAGGAGATTTATTTTTACATAGGATATAAATCAGGGCTTAATTAGCTAAATGACAATAGTCAACAAGCTAAACCAAAAAGACAAAGGTTATCAGTAGATCAAGCTAAAAAAGAATCCCATTTTGAGGTTGTTTACTAGTTTTTGTCAATATCCATGTAATCTCAGTTATAGCCCACTCTCCATAACCATCCATATGAGTAAATCTTTACATAGCTGCCTTTGTGTCATCACAGATTCATCCTGTCCTTGACATACTCATTAGAGATAACTGTCAGAGGGGAAAAAAAGAATGTGGCAGATCCACTCAGAGTCAAGAGCTCCTATAATACTGGGCTGTTGGAAAAGTCATGACGTGTTTTTTCTATGTTTTTCATTGCAAACATGCATCATGACTTTTCCAACAACCCAATATTAAGGCTGATGAGTATTCTCTTTGTGCAATTAAATAATTCTTATCAGGCTAAAGATGGGAGATGGTTTTCAGTTTAATTTTTGCTGTTTATTATCATTTCTATCCTCCAGGCCTATCTCCATTTTTTAGACTCATCAAATCATCAGACATTAGTGCTGGAGGGCCATTAAGATCAGTAAAATGACTCTGACAGATGGGGGAAACTGAGTCCCAGGAAAGTGGTGTTCTAGGCATGACCATGAGTCTGTTGAAGAGCTCAGAAAAGGTATGACCTTTGAACTTCCAGAACTGCAAAGGTCTAACAGGTTTCCCTATGACATCACATAGCTTAAGGGTCACATGTGAACTTTCTACAGTTTAAAAGGTCTCACTGCAATGTGATATTACTGTGACACATACGCAAAGAGAGGGTTTAATCTTAGCTGAGACGCTGGTATTCTAGGCATTTAGAAACTCATTTATCTGTGGCACAGTTGGTTTGAACTGTTTGCTCATGATTCCAAGATCACTGGTTTGCTCTCTGTCACCTGTCAACTTCCCTATGTTCCCTGGTCTCAGATCATCCCTATCTGGTGTCATTATCCACCAAAAGGAAGAGTGCTAATAGATTAGCAAAAACCCCACCTCAGCTGCCAAACAACTACATGTTTCTGTTGATGACTTAGGGCTATCATCTTCATGTAACTAGGCCAAAAGGAGTCACGGGGTAAGGTCTGTGTGGTCCTAGTATAGGGTCTAAAATCGAAAGCCGTGTCATGATAAACACAAATATGTAGTAAATGAACAAGAAGCAACATTACTGTCATATTCGTCCCAACATTTTCCTCAAAATGACCATGATTATTATTAATACTAACAAAACTTAAGTCTGGAGCCATAAGGAAAACTTTCATAAAAAGCTCTCTTGGCCTCTTAGCCTCTGTTGGAGAGAAAGTAAAAAGCTCTTTATTTCTCTGCAACATAGGTTTTTGGGAAAACAATTTATTCCCATGATAGTGATCCAAATACATGTGCATACATCCTGAGATGCATTTGGGTGTTTCTTAATGGATTTAGTTTTGACTTAATGAGAAGGCATTTCAATCACCCTCCTAGAAGACTCCACTTGCCATGCTGTCTTTTTCTGACCCAACTTGGCTATTTCCCAGTACAAAAAGCCTTTTTTCTTAGGGGCATTTGTTGAAAACAATTAGAAGCAACTGATTAACTTTGCAGCTGACTAAGGTGGTGGATAACAGTTTAGGTAAACACTAAGCTAATAACCAAAAATGCTGAAAGGAACAGCTGGGGAATGAACTGTCCATCGAGGCTTTGAAAAGCTCCAACATGTTCTTGGACATCTAAGACATGTGCGTGCATAAGGCTGTGCGCATGCTCAGGAAGGCCGAGGAGGCTTTAAGCAGTTATCTAGGGCTGAACACGAGGCTCTGCACAAGCAGGAAGGAAAGACTAAGGCAGAGTTATCAACTGCCTGGATGAGTGCTGAAGGTGTGCCCCAACACACATGCATGGCCCCTGAGCAAAGACTGGAGACTTATCAGCTCCAGGCATTTAAGGAAATCCCTGTCAAATCTTTAGCTGACCAGTAAGCTAACAAAAAAGGGGGTTCAGTGGCCATAAACTAAAGAAGCAAACATTACAGAATAGTTCAGAAAAGTCACTAAACAAACATATAACAACAACAAACACCACCAACAAACAACCCTGAGGATGAGGGAGAATCTGATTTCCAGAGTTAACATATTACATTATTAAAAATGTACAGTTTTCAACAGAAACAAAAAAAAATGAAACATGTAAAGAAACGAAAAGGTATGGCCCATACATAGGGATAAAAGCAAGAAAGTGTCCTTAGAAAAGCTCAGATGTTGGACTTACTGGAAAAGAAATGTTTAATCAGCTATTTTAAATGCATCCAAATAATTAATAAAAACTATGTGTAAGGAACTAAAGTAAAATACAAAGATGATGTTTTCCCAAATAGAAGCTATCAATAAAGAGACAGAAATCACACACACACACACACACACACACACACACACACACACACACACTAACTGAAATGCAAAATTCACCAGAGCATATTTGAGCACATAGAAGAAAGAATCAGGGAATGTAAGATAGGTCAATTGAAATTATCCAATCTGAGGAACAGAAGGTAGAGAATGAAGAAAAATGAATACATTTAGTTGAAATTATCCAATCTGAGGAATAGAAGGTAGAGAATGAAGAAAAATGAATACATTCTCAGAGACCTGTAAGACACCATCAAGCCATACCAACATATACATAATGGGGGACCTGAAAAAGAGGAGGAAAAGACAGGAAGAACATTTGAAACAGTAGCCAACAATTCCCAAATGTACCGAAAACCATTAATCTATACATCCAAACTCAATAAACTCCAATAGGATAAATTTAAAAAGACCCACACCTAGACACATGAAACTATCCACAAAGACAAAAAGAATCTTGAAAGCAGCAAAAGAGGCAATGCATCAAGTACAAGGAATTCTCAAAAAGATTAATTGCTAATTATTCATCAGAAACCATGGAGATCAGAGGCAATGGGATGGCATATTCAAAGAGATGAAAGAAAAAGACTGTCAAAAAGATTTTTTACATCTAGCAAAACTATCCTATAAAAGTGAAGGAGAACTTACGACATTCCCAAATAAAAACTGAGGGACAATCACTAGCTGACTTACCCTACAAGAAACAAAAGGGAGTCTTTCAGACTGAAGAAAACTCAGATTGAAGTTACTTGACAGTAACTCAAATCCACATGAGGAAATAAAAAGCATGGAGAATGTTCTATGTGCACCTGAGAAGAATGTATTGGTACAGGTAACTGTGTAGATAAATATAAAAGGATAAATGTATTTTTTGTTCATAAATCTTTTGTTCTGACGAAAGACACCTACATAAAGCAATAATTATAAACCTGCACTGATGAACACACAACATGTAAGGATGTAACTTATATGATGATAACAGCAAAAAGGAAGGGAAGGAATGGTGATATACAGGAGCAAAGTTTTTGTGCACTATTAAAAGGAAGTTGCTATTAACTTGAGCTATGCTGTTATAAGTTAATATGTTAATTGCAATCTCTAGAGAAACCAAGAATATAACTAAAAATATATAGTAAAAGAAAACACAAGAGAATTTAAGTGATCCATTAGGAAATATTTATTTAACATAAAAGAAGGCAGCAATGGAGGACTACAGGGACGTAAGACTTACAGAAGACACTCTAATTTGAATTAAACACTCAAATTAAAAGAGAGATTGGAAGACTGGATAAAAAAACTGATACAACTTTGTGCTGTCTACAGGAGACGCACTTCAGATTCAAAGACCCAAATAGGTTAAAGGTAAACAATGGAAAAAGATATAACAAGCACACAGTAATCAACAGGGAGCTGGAAAGACTATATTAATATCAGACAAAATAGACTTTTAGACAAGTATTTTGACCAGAGACAAAGAAACACATTTTATAATGATAAAAGAGTCAATCCATCAAGAAGATATAACAATTATAAACATTTATGTACTTAACAACAGAATGCCAAAATACACGAAGCATAAAGTTGGAGAAATGAAGGGAAAAATGGACAATAAAAGATATTAGTTGGAGACTTCAATACCCCATTTCAATAACAGATGGAACAGCTATACCAAGATTGAGCAGGAAATAAAATATAAACAACACTATAAACCAGCTAGACCTAACACACATCTAAAAAACACTCTACCTAACAACAGCAAAATACATTCTTCTCAGGTGCACATAGAACATTCTCCATGCAAGACAATACATTAAGGCATAAAACAAATCTCAATAAATTTAAAAGGGCTAAAATCACACAAAATTTGTTCTCTGACCTCAAAGGCATATTAGAAATCAACACAAAAGGACATTCAATGTGGAAAATGACACACTCCTAAATAAAAATGGGTCGAAGAAGAAATCACAAGGGATTTCCTTCGTGGAGAATTAGCAAATACTTTGAGATAAATAAAAACACAACATATCAAAACTTTTAGGGTGCAGCTAAAGCAGTGCTTAGATGGAAATGTATAGCTTCAAACGCTTACACAAAAGAAGGATCTCAAATCAATAACATAATTTTTTAATATTAATAAATTATATGTCCCATGTATTACCGTGTTTCCCTGAAAATAAGACCTAGTCGGAGAAGAAGCCGTAGCATGATTCCTCTAGGATATGGAGGGCATGCACCCCTCACATGAGGGTTTTATGACCTGTTTCAGGGAGAAGGGTGCCTTTTCCACAAACTCCTTCAGCTTAAAATATTCAGTATGCCAAGATGCCATATTTTGGCACCTAAAATCATGCGAGGGCTTTTTTTCTGGCTAGGCCTTATTTCCGGGGAAACAGTGCACACAACAATTTTTAAAAAACTGTTATGAAAGATAATCTTATGTGTACAGTCTTTCAAACCGCAATCCGTTACATAAGAATGAGCCCTGGGCCTGGAGCACTTACCAAGAGCTGAAGAGCCCACATAACCTGTGCTGGGCTTATCTCCTTGTTTGGGATTCTTTTTCCCTGTCTCAGGCTCAATGTGTACTGCTTTGTCCTGCTTGAGTATGTATGTCAATGACCTCAGGCATGCCCCCAGCTTTCAGCATTTCTGGCTCCCCAGGAGTGGGGTGGGAAGGGGTGGGGGGGACCTCTTTGCTGTAGCACAAGAGGGGTGTGTGCAGCCCCACTGCCCGACATAAGCTACCAGGAAGGACCTGCTGCTGGCCACGGGGAGCTCGCACCCACTACTGAAGCTGATCTTGCTCTATCTTTTTTCATGTGAATAAAGCATTGTTCAATCCAGTGCTTGACCGTGTTGTGTTTTCCTTGGTGACTGATCCCAAGATGTAGCAGGCAAAAGTGCTTGGACTTCTGATAACAGGCAACAGATGCCACCTGACCACAAAAACTACTCACAAAGAAAATCCCAGGACCAGATGGCTTTACTGATGAATTCTACCTAATTTTTAAAGAAGAATTAACATCAATCCTTCACAAACTCTTCTAAAAAATAGAAGAGGAGGAAACACTTCCTAATTCACTCTTTGAAAACAGTATTATCTTAAATACCAAAACCAGACAATGATATCACAAGAAAATTACAGACCAATATCTTAACAATATGGATGTAAAAATCCTTAACAACATACTAGCAAATCAAATCCAGCAACATATAAAAAGGATTATATATACATCAAGACCAATAATGCAAAATTGATTCAACATGCAAAAATCCATTAATATAATACACCATAAGCATGGAAGAGAGGACAAAAAAACACATGTTCATTTCAACAGACACAAAAAAGCATCTGACAAAATCTAAGAGTCTTTCATGATAAAAACACTCAACAAAGCTGGAAGAGAAGGGGACTTCCACAACCCGATAAAGGACATCTACCAAAAACCCACATCATATTTAATGGAGAAAGACTGAAAAGTTTTCCCTCTAAGATCAGGAACCAAAAAAGGATGTCTGTTCTCACCACTTCTGTTCAACACTGTACTGTAGGTTCTAGCCAGGGTAATTATTAAGAAAGAAAAAAAAAAGGAATCCAGATTAGAAAGAAAGAAGTAAAATTACTTCTAGATACATGATCTTCTACGTAGAAAACCTAAGGAATCCTCTAAAAGCTATTGGCTCCACGAATCCACTTGTTCTAGTCAGTCTCTTTGAATTGTAATTGTCACACTACCCATTATGGTTGTAAGACCTGTAATTCTTAGTATTTAATATAACTAATTTAGAGTGCATCATACACTTTATTATAGTATCAAGGTATCAATATTGGCTTATTAAAAAGTCTTGCAGGGCAAGAACTAATTGCTTCAGTAACGTAATGAGAATTCTCCAAATGAACTAAGTATATTTCAAAATGTTGAATTTGAATGGGGTAGGCACTGCAAAACTGAATATGTGAAGTTTAAAGACGGCTTTGATTGAAAATGGGTAAGCAATAGAAAGGATGACATAATTTCACTAATAGCATACCAAGAAATCTGCCATTTTGCCAAAATATTCAGATCAAGAAAGAGTTTACCAAAAAGGAAATGAATGAAAAATAAAGGAGGGAAAGGGTTAGAGTCCAAAGAAAACTAAACACATCTTGGCTAAACAGCTGTGTTCAAAAACAATTTCTTATCTTGCAATTAAGAACTGCTTTCTTTCTGAAAGACACAGGACATTGGGTTAATAGATTTCCTTAGAAGAAAATCTGTTTTGGCTATTGAAACATTAAAAGAATAGAACATCTGTTTTGCAAGTAAAGACAGATTGTATGGAAAAATCAAGTATCAAACCACCAATCAGACTAGCATTTAATTTGTTCTATCTAAATTTTCAATAAAAGTAAATGAACTTACATTCTTGAAATTATAGGTCAGCTATAAATATTTAACACCAGGAACCCCTAACACTAAGATGTTTTAGAGTATAAAGGAGGTAATCATTAGTATATTTTAATTATTTTTTATTCTATTTGACATCTATGTCAAACCAGGTTATAATGCACTCTCCCATAAAAATCATTTTTAAAGTATTATAAAAGGGAAACTCACCATCCATGAATTCTGTACATATTGAAATCCTGTTTTCTACAAAAAATGCACCATAAAATCCTATGATATATGATGAATCACACTGTAACAAAAATAAGGCAGAAGTAGTTAAAAACCTACAAGCCAACACCATAGGCACGTTTATTTAAAAAAAGACCAAGAAAAAATTACCTTATAAAGAATTTCCAATTCAGACATAATTTGCTTCTGAAGTTCCAGTGTAATATCTAGTGGTATGACCTAAATATAAAAAGGAATCAACCTTCACACATTTATTCATCTTTAAATATGGCTATACTCACTATGAAATAGAAAAACTAAAAATACAGTGTTGCCTCTATTCATTCCCCCTTTTTTCCTCCCACCACTATAACCCCCAGTAATACAAACTGTATCCACATCTGTCTAATCCTTTGTATTGGGGGAGGTGGTACAGAAGTGATTGATGGGACCAAGGAAAAAGCCAGGTCTCAAAGGTCAGTATTAATGGCTTTAAAAGTCAGTTAAGTTATAACATCCTTAATTTATACACCCTATTTTGGTCACATTGGTTATTTTCAGAAGAGGAAGATAAGAATGACCCTGAAACCATTAAAAAAAAATTGCCGTGTAATTCAGACACTAGGCAATAAGCAGAAGGGGATGATGAGTAAAAATGACATGTAAAGTAGGGTTTTTAGTTACAAGAGAAATGCGGAGTTTTTAAAAAAAGATATCATCCTTTTATATTCTTCCAGCTGCATAATGTTTTTTTGCTAATAATGTTATAAAATGTTGGAGCTTGAAGGAACCTCAGAAATTATTTCATCTAATCCCCTTCTTGGAGAGGAAGAAGCCAGGGTTCTGAGGAGCCACTCAGCCTGGCCTTGTGAGGGCGCCTCCGGTACCCAAGGGCTGTGTACCTTCCAGTCCGTACTGATGCTTTATGGTTTTCCTTAAAACATCAACCACTGAGTCAGATTTATAATGCAGAAACGTAAAATACTTATAAACTTACCTAGATAAATTCTAGTTTATTTCAAACACTAAGTTTTTAAGAAAAAAGACCATCAACTTCAAATTTTACTTAGCACTTCAGTGAAGCCAACTGAAGGGAAACCTTTTTATTTAAAAAAAAAAAAGACAGTGATAAGCATAGAATAGTTGGAAGACAATTTTTAAGATTTGTGGTCGATTTTCTGACTCCAAACATTTCTAGATAAAAACTTCATTTTCAGGATTACCATCAAAGTGTAGTTACATACCATCCAACACTGAACTACATTTTGTATCATGACTGCAGAATATATATAATCATACTGGAGGAAAAACCCCATAAATTATGAATTGCAAGGGGCTGATAGAGCAAGAAAGAAAAGGATAATCCTAAAACACATTTTAGGGGGAGGGGAAAGTGAGAAAAAAAAATGGCATAGCCAGTTTCTATCAAGAGTTTGCTTTAGGGTTATTTATAAAAGCCCTTACTTAGACTGTAAGTATAATACGAAACTGCCAAGAAACATTTAAACATTTCTCCCGATCAATAGTCATTTTGCCAACAATATTCACTTACATTTTTGTTCCTGTGTAAAACTTAGCAAAAAAATACATTCACCTAGTGTTGTTTCAATCCTATGCCATAAAGTGTTAGAGCTATTCACACCACTATGTTAAGTACAGGGAATCTTTCTTCTAAAAAACTACTGAAAGGAATGAAGTTATTATTTACCTTAAAGCAGTGGTTTGTAGTCCTGGCCTCATATTAATTACCTTTATATAAAGGTATTCATATAAATATATCAGGGCAGTTTAAACAAATCCTGAAGTACAAGCCTTACCTTAAAATAACAGAATCAGAATCTCTGAGGTTGGGTCCACCTCTTAGCATTTTTTAAAAACTTGGGTGATTTCTAACCCACAGTAAGGTTGACAACCACTTATTTAAGGTTTCAAAAATTACATTTATTCAGTGCTTAGTCTGCCTACTAAGCTATACTGCCTCTCCAGGCCCTCAATCTAGAAATGACATGATCCTACATGGCTGGCCAACACACTAGAGTAACCCCAAACTACTGTAAACATAGCGTTCCCTAGACCAAGAACCTTAATAATTGGGTTCCCAAGGCCTAGCAAAAAGTTACAGCTCGAGCATGACATTCAAGGAATTCTTCTACAATCTAGTTTCAATTTGTTATTCTAGCTCCTCCCCTTGTACTCCCCCGACCACAAACCCAATCCTCACGTAAAACCAGGTTTTTACGGATGCACACGCACGCCCTGTGCTTTCCCCCACCTCCAGTCTTTGCTCCTGCTGTTCCCTCCACTTGAGGTGTGCTTCCTCCCTCCCTCCACAGTCATTGATCATAAAAGCGTTTCTATCCTTTAGGCCCAGCTTGAATGCTGCCACCACCTCCAGGAAGCCAGCCCTGAATCCTTTATCAGAATTTATCTCTAGCTTTGGCCCTTTATCTTTCTCCCTCTCACACTGCCTTTAGCATTCATGCCTCATCTCCTAAAAAACAGAAGCCTAAAGAGTGGCTGTGGGCCCCTCCAGGGCAAGGGCGGCCTCCCCCACACTCCACACCCAGCACCCAGTACAGGGTCTTACTCACAACAGTGCCCAGTAAGTGATGTGGGATTTCATTAAAGAGCCCCTTACAACCAGAATCCTCTAAAGAAGAAGCTGTTTCTAGACAGGCAGGAAACGGGTTGTTTGATTTCTACAACTGAATTTAAGACCAAAGATACAAACACCAAAATAAATAAAAGTGCCATGCTGGCCTAAAATGTAGCATGTGTATGTGTGGAGCCAGTCCACGGCCCTCTAACAGGCTGGACCAAGTCTGCTATAGTCCAGAGCAGTGGAGGCTCCGTAGCGTAGAAAAGTGAATAAAGTAATTTCTGGGAACTTGAGGGGGAATGTAAAATCCCCCTTAAAATAACTCTACGGAAGTGCTCTTCTGTTTTCTGGGAGGCTTGGCACTCTAGGTGGAAGGTTAATTCTCCTTCCCTTGGGTACTCCCGTGAGTGAGCTTTAAAACTGCTGAAAATAAATCAGTCCAATTCCTTATTTGAAGGTAATGGGAAAAAGCATGGGAAATGCTAATTTTCTTTTTGAACTACAAGGGAAGTATGGACTCCCTGAGTCTTTTTAAAAATTATTATTATTATTATTATATTATTATTTTTCTCCTTCAGAAGAGCTACAGTTTCCAAACCTGAGAGAACCTGAACATGAGGCATTTCATAGAGAAAGGGTTAAGTGAGAAGCTGAAATACCTGAGTGCATTTCCGCTGCTCTCCACTACACCTCCAGGACAAATAAGGATGAGTTGTCAAGTTAAATATAAGCAGTCAAGTGACTGAATTATAATTTACTCTGTGCTCAATTTAAATTAGTGTGAGGCTATTAAAATATACAGTATAAATACGGCAATTCATCACAACCTGTCATGGATGACTTCATTTATTTGCTGGAGTGGCACACGCTCCACTAAAGGGAAGGAGAGCAAAATCACAGGTCAAATTAAGCCGCTATTCTGTTTTAATTCGCTTATTTAATCTGTGGCAACATAATTGTCTTTTACAGTATGTACAACTCAGAAAGGAAATTTGGGAGTATTACAGTCAGTATACAAATGATTAATCAAATGGTCCATTTAAATGCTAGTTTAAAGGCAGCAGAAACCCAAAACAGTCAAAGAATGATAATCAGCACATGCTGTATACGATGCTAAGAAATTTCCTGTTAGACGGATTTTTCCCAATTAGAAAATAATAATACTGGGAAATCTATTAAGCTGTACTCTTTGAGAGGTTTTATAGAATACTTTAACGGTATAAAAAGGTTCTGTTTGCAAGATGGCTAACCGTATTTTTATTTGTTTTCTGCTCTACTTGTTTGCAATTGTCTTGCTTTACCTACACCACTCCCCACCAAAAAGCTAGTTAGAAGCACATTTCATGAGTTACATACAGTCATGATTAACTAGTTATCTTTTAAATATTAGTAGTGTCATTTTCAAAATGCTTTCTTTGAGGGAGAAATTTTTCTAAATTCATTAATATAAGATAAAAATTCAAGGTACTTCTATTCTTCCGAAAATTCAACTTGCTTTTAAAAATATCTGAAGTGCTTGCTATTTTCCCACCTTTGAAGTCTGAAAAGGGAAATATTACAATATTTTTTTGTCTAAAAAATAAGAACACTTAGAAGTATAAAGATTAAAAATATCTTGAGTAGGAACAGAAAAGTAACAGATCTTCTAGGACTCTCATCTAATGTTCCCACAGACATTCCAAGTGTGGGTAACTGACCACTTGACTTGGGAAATTACATTTCCCTCATCGTTCTGTGCAGACATCAGAGCCCTGCAGGTGATTCTGCTTAGACAAGGACTGTGATTTGCTGCTCTCTGCAATCCCTCTGTGACACCAGGCAGCCCTGTTTCACAGCCGAGGTCACTGAGAGGTTCAAGTGACATGCTTGAAGTCACACAAAAGTCAGGAGAGGGTCAGGAAAAGATCAAATGTGCTTCTAACTCTTAACCTTTCATTTCACCCTTTAATATAAAAAAACAAACAAAAAACTAAGAAGTACTCTGTCTGAGAGCAATGGTCCATACAAAGAACACTATGGGATATTTTGTATATGAGCTGAACCTGCTTTCAAGTTGTTACCTCAAAAGATGAATGAGTAAACTGAAAAACAAATGAAAGAACAACATTTATTTATTCAGTCAGTCATTCAACAAATTATGCATTGAACATCTAGTTATTACACAACGGTGCTCTGTACTAGGTCCTCCACGCAAGGTTCTGCATGAATCAATGAGTAAAACAAGAAGATAAGTAAGATCTGTTCCTCACTGACAAAGAGATTTCACTATAACAGGGGAAATGTACATGTAAACTAATAACAAACTACAAGGCAGTATGTGATAACACCCCTGAGAGTCACATACAGAGAATCCTAGAGAGGTTCAAAGAAGAAAGTGAATGAGTGATGGATATACCATGTGTGACAGGATTTATCCAAGTAAGTTCAAGAGAGGAGTGGCTTTGGAGCTGACTCTTGAAGGGTGTTAAGGATTTTGACAGGTGGAGACACTGGTGAAGGTATTCTAATTCGATAGAAATACATGAATCAAGGTGGTGAAGTGAGAAAGTACCTGTGTTCAGATAAGGCAAAGAGTTCAACTTAAAAGCAGCCCAGGACTCAGTCATAAAAGATAGTGCTATTTTGGGGTTTATAACATTAATAAGTAAAATGTATGATAATAACAACAAAGGATGAGGGAAATGAAAGTATACTATGTAAACTATAGTACTATAGTTCTCATGCTATAGATAAGGTGGTACAACATTACTTGAATGTAGGCTACAGTAAGTTGAAGATGTACACAATGAACTGTAAAAAATTGCCAGAAAAGGGACATACAAACAGAATAGAAAACAAAAAGCAAGATGACAGATTTGAATCCAACCATATCAATAATCACATGAAACGCACATGATCTAAATACCTACCCCAAATAAAAAGCAGAGATTGTCAGGCTGGATTAAAATAAAAGACCCAACTATATGCTGCCTATAAGAAATCCACCTCAAATATAAAGACACAATAGTTTAAAAGAAAAGGCATATCGTGCTAACACTAGTGAAAGTTGAGGTAACTATATTAATATCAGACAATGTAAATTTCTGAGCAAGGAATAATACCATGGATAAAGAAGGTCACTTCATAATGATAAAGGGGCCAATTCATTAAGAGGACATAACAATACTAAATATACCTGACAGATAATCAAGAAATATAAAGTTAAAAAAAATTATAGAACTGCAAGGAAAAAAACGGACAAATCTACAATTACTGCTGGAGATTTTAACACCCCTCTTTCAACAATTGATAGATTAAGTAGATAAAAATCAGTAAAGATACAGAAATTTTGAACAGCACCGTCAGCCAACTTGATCCGACTGACATTTATCCAACACCCTATAAAACAGACTATATATTCTTTCATACACACAGGAAACACCAAGATTAATTCATATTCTGGGCCATAAAACAAATCTGAACACACTTAAAATAATTCTAATTATACAAAATATGTTCTCAGACCACAACTGATTTAAATTAGAAATCAATAACAGAAAGATATCTGGGAAATCCCCACATATTTGGAAATTAAATAACACACTCCTAAGACTTAATGAAAAACTGCCTGTTTTGAAGAAATGGTACATTTCTTTTTTGTAGATTATGACTAGTATATAAGCTATATGGTTTTTGCCTTCGCTGCCAAGAAGCTTAGGGCTGGACAACAAGTTTAAACATAATAATCATATCTACTCTTAAGTCATTCATTCATTCGACCTAGTTTGAGCATCTAATATGTTATTTTATACAATTTAGGGCTATAAAGTGAACACAATACAGTCCTTGCTCTAAAGCTGGGTTTTATGGTCAGGTCTAATTTATGGTCAGGTATATTTGTAAACTCCTACTATTTTCATTTATTGAAAATCTCTACTTTAACAGCTGTTTTTAAATGTGATTTCTTTAAAATTGCTTTTAGTCCTTTCCAGAAACAACTGGTAGCCCCTTGCTATACCCAACTAAATAGTCATGCACAAGAATTATAATATCAGCCTAGGTTAAACATAATTCAAAATGTATGAAATTATGAAAAATTAATAATGCACTTGTAAGGTCAAATAATACATTTTTTGGATGATTTATAGCAGTGTTCCCCTCTCTTGGAGTGAATAACCTAAAGTTGCCTGTTTTTAAATATGCCTATATTATTGGCAACAATCTGAGTTTTGACATTAAAGGACAAATAACACGAGAGAAAGCAAAATGATGCTTGAGTTGGCGGAGGTGTCCTCTGAGTGGAAAAGGAGCTCAGGAGGTACACAAAAGATAACCCAATGCTAAGGTGGTACAACACAGCTGCACTCACTGAACTCGGGATGGAGACTGGCTCCACAGCACCCACCCTGGGAGCCCCCTGCTCTTAGCTTCTTCCTCTGTAACATGCTGGGCTTCAAAAGAGCATCTCTAAAGTCTCTTTCAATTCTATAATTCTGTCAACCTAGGTTAGCCGGAATATCAAAGACAACACCCCAAGAAGGAGCTCTGTTTTATCTTCTCATCAAAAGCTATTTATTAAAACTGGACTTGATGATGTCACATAACACAGTCTAGGTGCTCCACTAGGTGTGGTATGGGAGAAGAACTCTGGACTACACAGCAGTCAGAAGACTTGAGTCTTAGCTTTGGCTTAACCTTACTAAAAGGTATCACCAATCGCGATTTAATGGTTCAGATTCTTAGTTTCCTAGAGTAAGATAAAAGATGTAGAAATATATACTATGCAAGTGCTAGGGAAAGAGACTGAATTCTCACTGGGGACAGCTAAGAAGGCATTTTGGAGATGAGCCGTGAAAGAAGAGATGGAAATCCGAAGGCAGAGCAATGGTAGTTGCTTGAATATAGGCTTGTATAACTTGTATGAAGGCCGAGGACATGCACTTTTGAGTTGGATAGATTTTGTTTTAAATTCTGGCCCTGGCTCTTCCAACTGTGTGACTTGGACAATTCATCTTTCTGAGTCTGTTTCCACAAATCTAAAATATATATAAGCTTACTTTGTAGTTTTAAGGATTAAAGATAATAGTTATATGGCATCTAGCATAATAGCAGGCATATAGTAGTCACTCAGAAAATAAAAGCTTTCATTATTAAGGGCCCAGAGGCTGGAGATACAGGCAGGATGAAAAGGATGAAAAGTAATAGACAGGTAAAGCAGAGGATGTGGCTGTACAGGCAGGGAGGGCCCGATCAATTTGTGGGGAGGGTGAGGAATAAAGCAGGCCTGACTAGTTTGTTAGCTAAGAACCCAGGGTTGGAAGGAGGTTTGGTGTGGTTAGACTCGAGGTAGCCTAGGGTTCAGTCAGAGGTACAATTCAATTGAGCTCATTGGGGAAATATAAGCTAAAATGTTGAGAAAATCAAGTACCAACAACCAATGCCGGAGATTAAACCCAAGGTGTCATGGCAGGACTGGGATCTTGGAGTATGGAATGGATGAGGTGTGGATTACAAACAAGATGGCAACAAGTGAGGAGTGTCTTAGGTAACTGCATAGAACATCCATGAGTTACGCACAGCTCAACCATTGGTAGGCGTGGTGCTGGGGTATTTCAGGATGCCGTAAAGGGTCAGAAGGGAGGAAGACATCTTAGGCTTTATGCTGTGCAGTATTGGAGATCAGGAAGAGAGGGAATGCCAAGACAGGGACATGGTCAGATCTGTGATTCAACTTCTCAACTCTGGGGCAGAGTAAAGGGTCATGGGAGAAGAAAAAGATAAAAGGTGCAGTGATGAAGTTGTAAAAAATCCAGGTAGGAAGTATGTGAACCTGATATGAGGCCAAGGCAGCGAGGATGAGTATAGAACATGACAAATGGACACATTTCAGGAAAAATTTCTGACAGGAAATGGTGACTTAGAGGATGTCGGAGATACAGGGAAAAAAAGAAATAACTTTTAATACTAAGGATTTGAGCTGCAAGACCAGGAAGACTGAGATGCCACTTAGCAGGGAACACAGAAGGAAGTGTTGGTAACAAAGATGAGAAGAATCACAATACAAGGAGCTTATCCCTCATCATTAGAAGTTATATGTAAAATACCTTCAGAGGCCTGAATGTCACACCAGTGCCACAGCTTCTACCACCAACCATCAAAACCTCAAATCATTTTATTTCCTTTTTGACAATACCTGTGACTAAGCTAACAAGGGGAAGAAAAAGTAGAGAGCATCAAGAATTTCATGAAATTTATCCAGCACTTACCTTTACAGCTAATATTTTCCCACTTGGGACATGATATGCTCTATGGGAAGAAGAAAAGTAACAAAATCACTTGGGATCACTAAACAACCTACATAACGGTTAAGGACATGACTGTAAATCTGAACAAATCTACAGCAATGGGATATATGAAACTTTCAAAAAACACTAATAAAATGAGTAATCTATATTTCTGTTGAGCTTAATGGCTTATAAAATGATTCGTTTACCTTAAAATAACCCTCAGAGGTAATGTTGGTATTATCCTCCTTTTATAGATGAGAACTTTGAAGCATAGAGAAGTTAAGTAGTTTGTCTAATGGCACAAAATCAGTAAGTGTCAGAACTAGGCCTTGAACCCAGGTTTTGGCTCCAGGTCCCTTACAACATACTGTCAGTGTGTGTGGTAGCTTTCTATAGCTCTCTGCTAAGCACTATAGAGAGCCAAATACAATAAAATGGGTGGTTTTCCTTTTGTTTTTTCAGTTATATATACAGATCAACTATATCCCTACATTTCACCAAAATAATCTCAAAACACATGGAATTAGCTATGGAATAAGATATAAATTCATATAAGAAGTCATAGGGGGGCCAGCCAAGTGGCGCGTTGGTTAAGAGTTGGCTTGGGAAGCCAGCTCTGAGCAGCAGGACCCCGGTTTGGATCCCACATGAGGACCAGTGATGCTGTGTCCTCAACAGCTAAGATGGTGAACAACAGCTCGACCTGGAGCTGGGCTGCTGTGAGTCGCCAGTGACGGCGTAGGCTGTAGTGGGGCTGCCCGGCAGCTGGCATGTGCTTTCATGAGCTGCCTTGAGCCACCGTGAGCGGCTGTCCAATGGCTGGCGAGCAACTGCCTCTCCTGAGAAGAGCACAATGATAATACCAACATGAGCCAGTGAAGCAACGTCCTCTACAACTAGACTGAAGAACAAAAGGACAGCAACTTGTCTGTTCCCCTTCCCCGATTCCTCAGTGCTGTTCCCCTCCAATTCCCCAATAAAATCTTAAAAAAAAAAAAAGTCATAGGGTTACAAGGCTCAAGTATGTGGTTCATCTTTCCCTAAAGCTGGCATTTTTCATTATTAAAAAAACTTCAGAAGAGAGACAAGTTCGAATGATCAGATGCAGTAAAATAACTACAATTGAAGTCAAGATGAATACATTTATTTATGAAAAAGAGTAAGAATAAGGTTTGCAGAAATAAAATACCATGATCTCATCCAGACCTTTACTGTTAAATGAACTGCGCCCTTTCATGTATGTACCACGAGGACTGCACATTCTGATCATTATCCAGAAACAATCTGCTTTCTATAAATTTCAAAACGAACCATGCAATATGAACAAGCAATGTTACTGCAAGTCCACAGAAGTACAAAGTAACAAATTAGTTTGGAAGAACTAAAATCTTGTTCCATGGAGGATTTTGCACATTAGCCAAGATCGGATTGCTCTCCCTCTCACCTGGCTGGTGATAAGACGTGAATGGGGCGGGGAAGGTGTGGGGGAACGAATTTAGCTTCTCAGGAATTCCCTGCCCTCGCCTGCCAAGTTGCAAAATTTACCAGGCTCCCAGTTTTTACTTGACCTAGTGGTAAAAATTGTTCATTAATTTTATTATTTTTTGAGATATCATTGACATGTAGTATTAATTTCAGGTGTACAACATAATGATTTGACATTTGTATATATTGCAAAATGATCACTCCAATAACTCTAGTTAACATCTATCACCAGAAAGGTACAAAAAAATTGTTCATTTCTTAAAACAAAAACATGTGTTCTACTATTATCAAAATGAAAAAAATCATTTTCTGTTGTTTTGGCAAAAATATTTGTGTGATTGCTCTGACAAATTTTTTAACAGCTTTACCACCTCACTCCGGTCAGAATGGCTGTGATCAATAAATCAACAAACAAGTGCTGGCGAGGTTGTGGGGAAAAGAGAACCCTGGTGCACTGTTGGTGGGACTGCAGAATGGTGCAGCCATTATGGAAATCAGTATGGAGGTATCTCAAAAAACTGGAAATGGAACTACCGTATGACCCAGCAATTCCACTCTTGGGTATCTATCCAGAGAAACCCAAGACACTAATTCGAAAAAAATATATGCTATGTTTATCGCAGTGCTATTTACAATAGCCAAGACTTGGAAACAACTAAAAATGCCCATCAGTAGATGACTGGATTAAGAAACTGTGGCACATTTATACAATGGAGTATTACTCAGTTATAAAGAAGAATGGAATATTACCATTTGCAATGGGGTAGGCACTGCAAAACTGAATATGTGAAGTTTAAAGACGGCTTTGATTGAAAATGGGTAAGCAATAGAAAGGATGACATAATTTCACTGATAGCATACCAAGAAATCTGCCATTTTGCCAAAATATTCAGATCAAGAAAGAGTTTACCAAAAAGGAAATGAATGAAAAATAAAGGAGGGAAAGGGTTAGAGTCCAAAGAAAACTAAACACATCTTGGCTAAACAGCTGTGTTCAAAAACAATTTCTTATCTTGCAATTAAGAACTGCTTTCTTTCTGAAAGACATAGGATATTGGGTTAATAGATTTCTTTAGAAGAAAATCTGTTTTGGCTAGTGAAATAAGTCAGTCAGAGAAAGACAAATACCATATGATCTTCACTTGTTTTAAGTGTACAATGATTTTTAGTAAATTTAGTGTTGTGCAATCCTGACAAGTGTTTTGAAAGTGACAGATTAAAAAATATAATTTAGTTATTAACAATTTATAAGCATTTATAACTTTTCACATACAAAATGTTATAAATTCAGGTAAGACTAGGAAAAACACATATATAAATGTATTGATAGATAAGAAATTCATTCTGCTTTTCCTACTTGAGTGGACAAAGGTTGAGTCAACTATGGAAGGTAAACTCAGCCTTTATTTTATCAATTAATTATAGAGAAATTCAGGTATATCTCATTTAAAGTAAAGGCAAGATTATAAAACTGGCAATTGTTCACTTTAACAAAGTTCATTAATCTGTAAAAATGTCTAAAGACTTTCTCCAAATGTCAACCTCCCTAGTAGAAATACTATTAAGTTTATAAAACAAATTATTTAAAAATGTTTTATACTTTATATAAAGTGATATACATTTTATAAGTAGAACTCCTATATTACACAGGTTTTAAAACAAATTACCACTTACTGCACTATCTATGTTAATATCAGACTTTTACAATGTGAACCGCATTTCAGGTCACAATTTGATTCACGATATAGCTGAACTCATATAAGGTATTGATATATAAAGACTTACACTGTATTTTCCTCAACGCCTGACACAGTTGTTAGACTAAGCAAATCTGAAATGCGATTTGAAGGAATTTAATAAGTTGATTCCATGTAAATACAGGTAACAAAATATGTAAAATTTAATAATGATCTATTATTTTTCCTCTTGTATATCACAAGTTCTTCCAATCACAACTTTTAAAAATACTGATCCCTAACCAAAGACTACAATGTGAAGATAAACAGTTGACTACATACACAAGGATTCAAAAGCTGAACAGTGTTGTTATACTTTGGACAACAAGCAACACCTGGACTTTTCAGACCAACAGCAGCGATAAGGAAATGATTAGCAGATAGTCTAATATGTATACCATATTGGACAGTTTGGCAAGTTAATTAGCTTGTCAAGAAAGCCGATCTCTTTTCCAAAAGAAAGGTCTCCTATTTCCAAGTGAATTAAAAGGGGAGGCTTGATGATTTAATTATGACACACGCTAATTCATCCATGGAAGTTTGGGTTCGATTTCGAGCAATAAAGATGCTGTGTGGTTTGGTTTACAGTGCAATGACAGTACCAATTTAACATTTAATCATCAAGGAGAAGTGGATGACAAAAGCAATGCCGGGTATGAGCGGAGGATGCCCCTTAACTTTGCAAATGGCATTCTACCCAGGGAAAAGGAATTTGTTTACTTTCAACGGATACTGCGTCTCAATTGTCTTGACCTTCCTCAACACATTAACTGTAAAGTGATTAATGAAGTTTGAATGGAGGCTCTGGTTACACCAAAGACAACTGTACACCTCTGCATTGTTTTAATTAACAGCTAACACTTCAAATTAGTTTGTTGTTGCTGCGGTAATTACCTGTTCCAATGAGTGCATGGAGGAGGCATTTTTATATTTTTAGTGCTTAGTCCTGCGTGTTCCATTTTCTTTGGGACCAACATAAGCCTTCAAGGAATATTCCCAGCCCTTAAAACTAAGCACACAACTTACACACTTCAGGATGGCAAAAGCTAGTATCCTGGCACAAATTTTTTGAGTATTTAAAATAAAGAGTCCGGCAAAAGAGAACACTTACTATCCCATACTTGCTTACTTTCTGTTTTCATTTGGAACAATAGGTTCTAGATGACTGGGCAAAAAAGTTGACACCAGAATTAATTCTGGCAGAGTACAGACTCAGATAATGTACTGAACTAGTAGAGAATGTAGAAAATTGTCTGGTGTGACCCCTTCCTTTTAGTGTGGACACACTGTAAACCCAGGTGAAAAAACTTGTCCAAGTTTCCAGTGTAGTCAATGGCAAAGCCAAGACTGGGGGAACTGTGGCAGAATATTCCTCTTTTAGGACCTAAAAGAAATATGTGATGATCTTTAAATTTTCTTCACTGTGTTCCAAGACAGGAAAACTCAAAATTCAAAATTGATAAAGGTGCTGACCTATTTCAATCAGGCTAAGGACCATTGTATCCAAATCCTTTCAGACAAGGAAGCAATCACTGCCAGTCTATCTTAGGGGCAGGCAGAGAGTGAACTGTAGGCTCTGAAGTTGCTGCCTGGATTCTGATCCCAGCTCCGTCTGCCATGTCTTAACAATGTGAACCTGGACTGTTAGTAACCTCCTTGTGTCTCGGTGGTCTCAGGTATGGAATGGGGACATCGGTCCCTACCTTCTAGGGTAATAAGGATTAAATGAGATAACATAGGTAAAGCACTGAGGATGGGGTCTGGCATGCATATATCTTAGTAAACTAGTATGTTTTCA